AGGCAGTTAAGTAATCTCAGTGGATATCTGACGTAAAGTATTAGCATTATCTAATGAGCTTTCACTCGGAACAAAAACTGGACGGCCTAACAAGATCCAATAATTACAACAAGCAAGTCTATGAAACTTACATTTCTTACGAGTAAACATTGGACGAAGCAAAAACAAGAAGGCGATATACAGTAAAACACGTGAATAGATAAATAACGATACGCAAGGTAATGGGCGACAGGTAATGAGCATTCGCTATCGATCATGAAATGGCGCAAGAAAGTAGCTGGATGTGTGCGGTGCGTTAATCGTTTGAAAGAATGCTGGGGACGGGCAGGTGGAATGAGTGTCTTTCATCGGCGAGAAGAGACGCGATTCGTGAAAGATGTTGAGATTTCCGCGGTATTTCTACCTAACTGCAGGTAAGTATGTAGGTGCGATGAGGTCACTCCGCGATTATGCGAGATGATATCACTCGGATCTGAACGAGCGGCAATTTGTTTGCCGACGTGAAGCTATTTCTTGAAATGTAATTGTTCAATGTTGCATACTTTATCCTATCATTAATGGGAAATATATAATTAGTAGACTGCAGATTTTTATGGAAAATAAAATACTTGCGACGTCAATGCAGAAAAATTTAAATAGGAATCTCTTCTGTATTTTAAAAATCATAATATAGATTTCACTCTTGATATTCTGTATCATTGGACATTGAATGTATGTACTTATATATCTCCTGTACATTCCATTTCTCTATGTATAAATGCATAAAATCCGAAGTCTAATGATTATAGCCCATTTGCTTGCAGAAAGATCGTATTTCTATTAGATATTAATTCTTTTCTTAAATTGATTAAAAAATAATTTTTATTTTATTTTTTAATCTCAATGACAGCAGTATTTATATTTGAGAAATTGATATTTGTAAAAAATAAAGCAAACAGAACATTCACATCGTGTGTGGAAAACGTATATGAATATCATAGTACTACAACTTAATATTCTGACTATGTTACTAGTGCTTATGCAACGCGATAGTAAAGGAGAGTGCATTAACTCAATCAATTTATTATTAGCATTCAATTGTGCAACGTGGGACAAAATTAAACGTTTGAAGGATAGCCAAATAAAGACATCGAAGATGCCTGTTGAACAGCTAACAGATGTTCCTCTACCTGTTCCACTAGTAAACAATCCAAGATGATACGAATTAAACATAATTTTCTAATAAATATAAGGATGCCATTTAATCTTCGAACAATTTCAATCTTGTACTTAAATAAGATAATTCAATATCCGATAAGCAATTAGTAATTATTGCCAAATCCAACATTCAATATAAAATGTATGACTTTACATTTGTCTTTCATTAAAAACGAATCTACTCGTATTAGGTAGAGTAAATTCAACATACATTGGCTGAAATGTCATTTTAAATGCCAACGTTCAGTTATTTAATCGCACATTTGCGTCATTACGTCGATAACTAATAATATTGCTTTCGCAAGCTACCGAAGAATTAACCTTTGAGTTTTACTAAAATTATAGAAATACTAACGAACAGTACTTTCAAGTTTTTCATTTAAATATCAAGTAACCAAATATTGAAGAAAATCATTCAGGAAGATACATTGCATGATTTTTATCTTAAATATCATAATTAATGATCGATACTGCAATTCAGCTGTTCATTGTCAGTATGAAACGAACAATAAACTGCATAATTCAACATAATTATTGATATAAAACTGCTAATATTGATTGCCCAATACCGGTGACTAATATTTACGCAATATCATTTTCTATTCTTAGTATCTCGTTTCATTTCTAAAGCAAACATTGGGTTGTCAGGTTTTTCGAATCGATTCATAAAAACCTCATTTCCAATTCCTGTTCTCGCACGAGCTACCTAATCAAATCATTTTGCATCCGCGTAGTTATTAGAAATAACGTCCAAAAAAAAAGGCAGAATGGCACCGTTTTGACGTTCGCGATACTACATTTCGAACAACCGGCTGGGTCAGACTCCGGAAGCCAGCTAATTAATTGCACGCAGCAGCGCAAACAACAATGCATCGTAACGAAGCCGGAGGGAAAAGTACACAGGTAGTGACCTTTTCGTGAGTCAGTTTCCCACGCATGGGTGGCAAACTGGTCCGGCGATCGTGATCGGTCCAAGCAAAACCGTGCCCGGCTCGGCGAACAAATTTATCGGAGCCAACGCGTATTGATTCAACTATGACAAACCGTTCCTGCCGTTTAATCGACTGGGAAAACGAATTTCAACGCAATCAAGTTCAGAAGAACTTTTCAACACATTGTTGGAATTCCCTGTACATCATTACAGATGGAAGATACCTTGATAACGAGCGTTTGTTTAATCTAACAAAGGAAGAAAGCATGGGAAGGAATAATTATTGCATTCGCGAAAGGTATCAACTTTGAATCACGGCATGTGCTATCGCGATAATGAATCACAAATCTGATTTGACTAAATCCGATGCACACAGAAACAATTTTCCTAGCCTCCTTTTGAAACAGAAAGTAGTACAAAAAGAATCTGAAGGAACTCTTAGTTAAATTCACTTAAAGAGATTTTGTTATAGAAGAGACGAATCAATGACCTCTTCAATGATAGCCTTAGATAACTCCTCGGTCAAACAATTATTCATACTCCATCATACATGAATCACGATTGTAAAGTACTAAATCATGTTTACAATACTCATGGATATTTATCGACATTTTGCTTGGATTCCTTCGTTTTTAAGGATGTATTGGCTATACAGCCAATCCCAAAATTTTATGTACTTTAGAAAAACGGATTTCCTATAATTAAAAAGAAATCAGACGTCGGAAGAACAATGCTAATAATAAATAGCTACGTGTTAAAAAGTATAGAAGGAAATATCCAATTAAGTAT